AAGTTTCTAATGATTTATTAATCCATGTTTTAGCAATTAAGCCAGTTTTGGTATGATGAAAAGACAGTTGATACACTTGTAAAAGGTGCTATAAACTGTACAGAATCTAATGGAAGAATTGCTTTAATATCATGTCCTACACTTTATAGTAAACTGAAAAAAAATGCTGGTGAACGGCAAGGTATAAATGCATATTGTTTATCTGGTAATTCAATAATTCAAAAATATTCAATATCACTAATGTTGTTACTAATGTTAATTATTTCTTAACAGTTACTCTCTTTGAGTATGATAAACGTTTCGAAGTATACGGCTCTGACTTTGTTCCATACAACTATAAATTTCCTTCAGATATACCCAGAGATATGTCGAATTTGTATGATTTAGTCATAGCTGATCCACCATTTCTTTCTGATGAATGTTTGACAAAAACTGCTCTTACAATACAGTTCTTAACCAAGAAAAAGATTGTCCTTTGTACAGGTACATTTTATAAATTAAACTTTTGTTTTTCATTACTACTTGAAGTTAATGGATAACTCATTCTTATTTACAGGTGCTATTATGGGTGAATTAGCAGAAAGATTATTGGATGTTAAGATTTGCAATTTTATACCCCATCATCAAAATAATCTTGCAAATGAATTCTACTGTTATTCGAATTTCGATTTTGATAAAATGTTATGCTGAAACAAATAATAAATAAATTATGTTTGTAAAATTTTAAAGCGTTTTTTAACACGTTTATTATTAATGTAGTTAATTTAAATTTGTTATCACTCATTATTTTTAAATACTATGTTACTTTTCGTATTAAAAACATAAAATTTAATATATTCATATATAGTGTTAAAAAATATTTTGTTTTAACAATTTTCTCATTAGAAAATAATTATAATAAACAAATAAAAATCGAATTTAATTTTTTTTTAATTTAACTTCTAATTGAAAACTGAAATGTGTTGGTAATACTGACACATTTCAATACAAAGTAAGAAATTTAATAACTAAATATGTAATATAGTACGTTCTATGTCTTATAATACTTGTTCTGTCATATGGTTTATTTTAATTATACCTATATCGATATATAAAATAATAATCAATGGAAGATTATAAAAATACTTAGGTAGAAGAAAACATTTTTTTTATAGTTTCTAAGAACAAACTCCCTAGGCAGGGCAAAAATAATCTCTAGGTAAACATCTGTAAAAAGAGACACGCCATGGAAAGCGTAAATATTTACATTTCTTGAGTGTTTGTGAGATTAATTTTTATTTATAATCATGATAGACGGAAACATTTCTATGGAGGAGGATACAGAATTACGTGATTTAGTGGTGCAAACTCTTGAAAATAATGGTGTTCTCGCAAAAGTGCGGGTATGTTAGAAAAATATTTTAAAAAACACGCCTTTTTAATAGGTTATGTAGATCATGTCAAAGAACCATTAAAGTTTTCATTGTTTTTACATTATTTGTTTTAAAATGTTTCATAATGTTATAGGCAGAACTCAGGGCCAGTGTGTTTTTAGCTCTGGAAGAACAAGAATCTGTAATGGTATGTCAAAATGTTTTATAGTAAATAAATATAAATTAAAAAAAAAGTATTTATTATATATTCTGAAAGCGTAGTTTACAATAACAGAATGTACAAAATGATGTATAATTTATATATTTGAACTAAGATTTTTTTAAGAAAGAAATAAATATTTCAGAATCCACAACCACTTCTTAATAAAACTGTAAAACAGTACCTGGCTAATTCAGAAGGAAAATTATTGTTTTCCTTGGTTAGGGAGTTCCTAGAATATTTTGGTCTTGATTATACAATATCTGTATATGATCCAGAAACTTACTTTGGAAAAGAATATAATTATGTTGGAAGAAATAAATTATGTGAAGAACTAGGTATTGAATCCAATGAGCCATTGCTTGGAGAAATTTTAAAAAATAGCATGAACAGTGCCTTTAATAACACACAAAAGGTATTTACTCAAGATAGTCTATGATATTGTGTTGCAAAGATATCTTACAAAAATTTTAATTATTAGTTATTACACCATTACAATTATGAATGTTTTTATAGAATGAAACTAATGACAGCAAACTTAGTAAAACAGATGAAATTACAACAAACATTGCTAATGCAACATTTGAAATTTCCATTCCAAAAGTATTAAGTAATGAAACTGCATCATTATCAAATGATAATGATGTATCGGATAAGTTGGAAAGTGTTTCACAACAAAGTCAAAAACTTCCAATAAATGTGACAATAACTGATAAGAAAAATAAAGAAACATCTACTCATGTTTCAATAGTTGATTCAAATTGTGAAAAGCAACATGAACTCAGGAATAGTACAACTTTTGAATACAATGATAAGAATGATGGAATTGACAGCAAAGGGAATAATAATATGAATTTTAATATACTCCCTACAAATCCAAATGGCACAAGTACAGTGATGAATCATACAATAAAGGAGACTGATTGTGAGATAGATGCAACCATCCAAACAAGTTTATTAAATAAAACCAAGCCTTTAATTAAGTTTGATGAATCTATAGTTACTGAAATGCAAACAAATCAAAATGAAGATATAAGTAAGCAAAATAATATAAATAGTTTGGAGTTACAAATAGCAAATAATGTACAAAACAAAAAACCAGTTAATACTGGAAACAGTTTTGGAAAAACTGTATACTTCGAAGAAATTATTGTTGATGGAAAAAGAGAAAATATTAATGCTGAAACCTTTTTACAAGATTTACCATCTTTAGATAAAAAATCTCATTCTATACTTAGTGATCTCCCACCACTAAATGGTAAAAAAACTAATATTAATGATTTAAAGGAACTAATGGATATTGGTCTTGGTATGTTGATGCATATCCTCATAATGTATCTTGTATCATATTCATATTATAAGTACAATATTTTTAGGAACTGATGGTACAGATAACTATGAGGAAGATTTTATCTCATCTGCATCTGGCAGTGCTTATGATCAAAGTCCGTCTAAAGATCTTGAAAAATCAGATAGTCCAATAAAACTACAATTGAAAAAAGAAGATAATATTCAGAGTGCTCATAGCGAAGGTATAAGCGAAGAAATTGAAGATATGGATGATATATTAAGTAGTACATCTTGTGTAAGTAAATTTTGTATGTATTTAGATCAGTGCTGTGTACTAAAATATTCAAGAGTATTTTGATTTTCCAAACTATTCCCATTTTTTAAGGAAACTAATGCTAGTTTAAAATCCAACTAGTATAAATAAATGACTTGCTCTCTAAATTTTATTGTTAGTCTTGTTAGTATTCAATTCTTTTACTTATAGCAGGAGAGCATGGTCATGTGGTAAGAGGGACCCCTTTCTGTGGTGGTACTGTTTTAAACTTATTTTTCTGTATATACTCTCAGATGTACTGATAATTTTTTATGTACTTTGAACACTTCACGTATAATTTTATTCTAGCTTGAAGATATAAATATGGATAAAAATATATCAAATTTTGCAACGGGTATTACAACAAGTTGTGCAAAGGAACTATAATTATGAATCACATCAGTATGGAGTTACAGCAAGAAGTAAAATATTATTTCGTTTAGCGTCAAGTATATTAATGCAAATTGCTATGAATTCGTACTTTGCAAAATTATTTTGATTTCTAACATGGCACTGCCTTTCATGACTCAATACTTATAGGTTTTCCCACAAAGAACGTAGAAGGACACTGCCTGAATATATACAAATGCTATATTTTTAGTGAATTGTAATAATTTCGTAACAGAAGCATATTTTTATAAATCAGGATCTTTATTTTAACAGTATGTAGAATCAACAATTGTTAAATTAATATTCTATAGACTTAACGTTATATTAATTATTAAGTGAAAAGTTTGAACTTCTTATAGAAAATTTCTAAAAAAAATTTGATTAAAAAATTAACCAATGTAAAGTAAACTAGACTACGACGTAATATTTAATTAAATATACAATTGTATTTTTGTTTTAATAAATATGATATATTATTAATCAAATTAGAATTGTAATAAAACTTTTGATCACATACTTTCAGACAAACTGCCTTCTACGTTGCTCTGTAAATGTACCTAGTATTATTATTTTTAAAGCCAATTATTTCAATTTTAAAATACCTTAAAAAATGAAAAGTAATCAGTTACATTAATGATTGTTAAATACTTAGTTAAATCTTTCTAAACAAATTTTGTAATAATTTTGTTGTGTTTATCAGATCCTGTATTTGATTTCATGACTGAAATGTCATTAATTACCTCATTTAACTAAAGTTACTGGTATGGTATTGATAGCAATATCAGTAAATCATCCGTCTAAAAATGGATTGCCTAAAAAATACATAAAATTATTTTTCTTCAAAGATAATGGTGCTAAATGCATAAAATTAAAGTTATTTATAAAAGTTGAAGTTGATATTCCATAAAAGATTAGGTGCTTATATGTTTCCTTGCATCCATGAATCGTAATATTTAAATGACTAATGAAAGCTTTAGACTAAGTAATTCAATTTTTGGGCAATCCAATACCTTGATAAACATATTGGTATAAATAAATTATGCCTCAAATAAGATGCAATAACTAAGTACAATTCATAATGGATAAACTGAATGCTTGACAAATCAAAATCTGTTTGTAACAAATGTACAGCCTGCTTCCTTCACAAAACTTTTTGGTAGCACACAATTACTATAACATTATCAATAGTAAATATTGTAAATGATTCAAACAAAGAGATTTCATAGTCTGTTCTGGTTATAAAATTCCTATAGTTATGTTGTTACAACAATTCATGCATTAAATAAATAGGAAATTGGTTTTTACTACAACTTTATTATAATAATGTTATTTTTAGTAAAACAGAATTACATTGTATTACAGAAAGATAATTTAAACATATATTTACTTATGTATTATTTTAATGAAGAAATTAAACAAATTGGTATCTTTATTTCTACAGTATTGAATATGATGAAATTCCTTAGTTTGAATCAACTTTTATCTCTATGTATATATTAAAGCAGGCGTGTTCCTGACCAATCAACGTGGTTACATTTTAATATTGACATAATATAATTTTATAAAACCAATTTCAGGATGATAGTAAACATTCCTACACTTTATAGAATGTAAAGCTTAGATACATTCCATTGTTATTAAGATTATTGCATTTTTGTTGTATTGTTAACATTAGTAAAGATATGTATACAATAAGTATTTTTTACTATGACATGTGAGAGCGAGCGAACGAGAGAGAAAGAGAGAGAGAGAGAGAGAGAGAGAGAGAGATATGTTTGAGAAACATTTTATAAGTATCACAGTATATCAACAAATTTTATTTTACATTCTTATAAAACTGTAAGGTGTTTTTGTAAGCATTTCTATTGCAGGGTACACAAACATTTTTGTATTTATGTAGTTTCAAACATGCTTTCATTTAAATGTAAACTGATTACTATACAGTCACATATTCTATATACATTTTTATGTAAAAGTCTCATTGTACACAATTTTTTCTTTGGAAAATTTGTGAATATATATATCGTATATAATGAATATGCAATATAGAAAAGGTTGAAGATATATTTTTTCACATTAGTAAAGGTATTAATAAATTTCTTTTCTGATATAAAAATCAAGTGCTTTTTGATAACAAAAAAATATAATTAATAACATCGATTTGTTATGTTATAAAATGTCTGTATTGATTTGTACATATGTCAATGGCATTTTATGCACTGGTATGTGAATTAATTATAGATTTTCAGCAAACACTGATATGAAATAGTTGTAATTATTGTTATTTACTAATTTATAATATCAACTTGAACAGATGAAGTATTAATGAGCTACTCACAATATTTTTTCATGCAGTCCTAGAGGTTTACTTTTGTAACCACGTTGAAGTATTGGTAGCTATATTGTGCCTTTTAGTGTGTATGAATAAGAAACAATGCAAATACATACTATGGAATTGTGGGATTTACAAAATACCTAAGTTACTTATTTATGATTTTGAAGTATGATGTAACAATATTCATGTATATGTTATTTATTTTATAAAGATTTTTCTCTTTTGCAAATCTTGTGAACAATTTTTTTACTACTACCTTACAATCAATCCCAGTTAAAGTTTTATATTAATTCAATATTTTACGAAATTTTACACCTCTAATTACCTATTAATTTGTTCATAACTTTTTAGGAAAATTGTATTTCTACAAAAATAATGAAATGAGAAAATTTTAGAAATGATAAAAATGAGAAAAAACAAATTTAATTACTTAATACATAATGCCATAATAAATTTCAAGTGCATATAGAGTTAGTAAAAATAAGAAAAACTGTTCACGTAAATACATATTTGTTATCATTTTATTTGTAAGAAACAGTTATATCATTCTTGTGTTACAGACCAGTATAGTATTACATAGAATGTAAAACATTTGAGTGTTTGTTCACGAGCATACTCTCAGGTAATTACAATAAGGAATGAACTTATAGGTGGAATTGAAAATTTCTACCAAAATTAAACGAAAATCAAAATA